ATGTAAAATTAAATGACTTATTTAATTTTACCTATCAGTTAATGTCACATTAACGTTATCTAAATTTGAGTTATAATCCTAGTGGGGTTAAATAACATTACTCTTTTTTTATAGCTTTTAAGTGCTCACGTACATTTAAGGTCAAGTTAACATGACTTTGATTTTGTTTTTATTTCTTGTAGAAGAGCTTTTTGAGGAAACAACATTAGATCAGTTTTCTCTAAAAGATTTTCTTACAAGATAAAGCACAATAATTCAAATATATTATAAAGAAGTTGCTTAATCTCATAAGCAATTTTTTGACTTTTCAAAAGTTTTACGAAATTAGCCCTTGATAAGGCGGATTGAAATTTTTTTGGAATTTTACTTATTGTATTGTTCAATTTTGTTTAATATCGTAATCATAAATGATCTAATCAGTGTGAAAGTAGAATACTATATAAAGAAAAAGTAATAATAAAGTTCTCACGTGAATCGTTTGCCTCGTACTTATCGACATTAAGGATCCGTTTGATTGTAAAAATGAAATTTGGGTGGAAAGAAAACGAATTTCAGGGAATTAAATTGTGTAGAACTTGTCTTGCTTAGAATTGTCAATTATATGTATTTGATTGATATAATTTTTCACCTGAAAAATGTTGGAATTTTGGATCTTTTGGTATTCGTTTGGCTTTATTTTTTATGAAAATTGTCAATTAAATAAAATATTTTTTTTTATAATGGCGGATAAAATTTATTTTCATTGCCAAATATATATATATATAATTCTCACCAAAATCAAAGGAATTGGAATTCCTTCAAAACCTGGAACATGCCATCACGTGAGGGAAAGGAGGAAAAGTAATTCCATAGAAAATTTTGGTTATCAAACAACACAAATTTGGTGGAAAATATTTTCCACAAAAAATGGTGCTTTCATTTTTAATATTGAAAGTGACAAAAACATGATTTTTTAAAAGTCTAGACTAAGCAATTGAGAACCGACACTTTTCATCAATTTGTTTTTCTCTTTATACCCACAAATAGAAATATCTTATCGTAAGCATTTGATTAGCAACTTTAGATGGTTTGATTGGATGGTAGACAATGGCAGGATTTGAATTTTGATTGAGTAGCATAAATTGAGATGGTGAAAAATAATAGGTTCAAGATTAGTGCTAACTTTTGTTAAATCTTTGTTATTAATCAATGGATATGACGTCTATTCATCTGACTTTTGTCAAGATTTTTGCTTTTTCATTACTAGAAATATCCTTAACAGGCAGACATGAATAATTAAGTACTAAAGTTACAATCGTGAATCATCAATCTAAAAATAAAAAAAAGTTAATTTTACCGACAAATATTTGAGAGTGTCGACACTTATGTGACTTTATCGATGGACCCATGTAAAAATCGCTTTATGTTTGATAAAATTAGACTCGATTATCATCATACGATTTCATTATATACAACATTTATTGTTTTATTTACGCATTCTAAATTTACTACTACTAAGTCAATTAAATTTTATTTCAATTCATTCTCTTTCTTTGATGAACTATACGGGACGTATTCATTAAATAAAAATATTAAATAGCAATCAACGATAGAAATTTCATCTCAAAATTTCAAAGGTATTATTTTCCGTAATTTTGACGGAAATCAACAATTGCCAAGGTAAAGATTTTTGCGACGATTTTTTCGTATTTCTTGTTAGATATTTTTCATCATTTTGCATGTGTTTTATTTTTTTGTTTTGCTAATGATTTGCCGCCAGGATTAGCGTTTGTCGCTGCGCAACGGGGTTCGACCTGCCCGATCAGGTCGCGGGGGTCGAGGGGGCAACGCCCCCGAAAGAGAATTTTATTTTCAAAAGTTTTGAATAGGTGCATCTGTTCATTTTTAACAGTCACTTCCAAGGGATACACCTATTCAAACAGTTGCCTCAGTGTCTATAAATTCTGGACGAATTCTCATTTACAAACACATTAAAACAATTTATTTTTTCCTTCTTTCTCTTGGCATCAATCAGTTATATTCGAGTGTCTTCTTGATTTGACCAAATAGTCACAATTTGAATCAAACGCTTCCATTGTATTCTGAGAGATATTTTCTATTATACCCAGTTGTGACTTTATTGAATAGAGGAGAAACATCTCTTAAAAGATAACGCTTCATTTCGTGCCTTGGAGTTCATTAACACATTCAGATTTCCCTACATTATTATCAACATTTCTAACTAGTAGTATCAATTTCATCAAAGAAGTGACCAATTCATCTTGTCCCAGCGAATTAAAGATTGTTATTCTCACAAATGAGATCAATGATTCAAGGATTAACACCTCTCCCCTCACCACTTCTCAAAAATAAATAAATACAAAAATTTCATAGAGAAAGTGGTGGGTGAGGGGGTAGAATCAATGGCAAACTTTATATTCATAGAAGCCGTGCAGAAAAATACAGAAGACATTAGTAATTGTCAATTGTCGTTATCAGCCTCAACTTGATTATTGACACAACCAAGTCATTATTTCATTGGGTTACTAGTCGAATCCATACATCAATAAACTTTATGTGGAATGAACTTTTGATTTAAATAAAAAAACATTTGATTTGCACTAAATATGCTACGTATACCATCATTTTCTTGTATTTGCTCAATGTGTATCAAATATATCAATTGAAATTATTTATTATAGATAAGCATTACGTCCCCCCATTTACATTTTCTGTATCTTAACGTTTATTAAATAAATCAATTAAAAGATAATTCTAAAAATATTCATATTTTGTTCCAAAATTTTTTAATGAGTTTAATTTACTTTCCAATCAAATGGAATGAATTTGTCAAATGTACATTGATCAAAACTAAATAATGCATGATAATATTGTTCAAATAATTAGATAAATCAAATACATAATGAATATGTCAAATATAGTTAAACAAATTAAATACATATTGAAAAATAAAAAGTAAGGTAATGAACGTGTTAAATGTACATTCATCTTAACTAAATAGTCGACAAAATAATTATTGATAATATTATTCAAATGGTTCAAATGAATAATAAATCAAATACATATTAAAAAATGGAAAGCAGTGTATTATTGAAATAATTAAATATATATTGAAAAATGGAAATTAAATTATTATTAAAATAATTAAATTATAGTAAAATAGAATCCTCCGAAAAATGATTCTCACTTGGTGTGTATTTAATATATTTGTTAATTAATTATAGATTATAGATAAATTATTCATATTGTAAACTTAATTGTTACTATATTCTTTACATTTCGATTTTATAATTTCTTAATGATATGCAATTTTTAATAAAATTTCTATTGTTCCCATTTTTGTTATGTACTAACATTTTTCCTATTATCAACTAAAAACTTTTGTATACAAAAGTATTCAGTTCATCTTTGGTAAAAATAATTTCTTTACACGTGAGAAATTCATAAAATAATATATGATTTAAAAGTGAATAACATATTTTTACTTGACTATTCAATTTATATACAATATGTTTTTATTTATTTATTATTTTTTATTATTTTTTAAAGATGAAACCGTAATATATAAGTATTACATACATATAAGAAAACAACACGTTGTAGGATAAAATAGTATGCTAGCCATCTCTAGAAGGTGGAAAGATCAAATGAATCAAATGTCAAGATCCCCAATTGGCGAAAATAAATAAAAAATGGAAGCTTTGGTTGACCAAAAGATGGCGATTTATTTAGAATTTGACCTGATTAATTGCCCTCTTGTTTATAGTCTCACTCGTCATGCTTAAGAGTTCGGAATAGATTTTATACGTATGCTTCCAATATACAATATCGTCAGTAATTATCGATGATCTATGATCATCAAGAATCATCAACGACTTCTCAACTTTAATTCTTGTACGAGAATAATGTTTGTTTTATTCATCACAAGTTTCTACGAGTGGTCTTTCAATATGTTTGAATTTAGAAGAAAGGGAAGTTAAGAAACTATTTGATTTTCATAACTTCTATTGTATTTAGTGTAGAAATAATTAAATTAATGATAACATTCTCGTCGTGGCATCAAACATTTTCCTTGGTGCAAAACCTTAACATTTTCCAATATCGAAAATGAGGTAATCACATGCAATCAAAAAGTGAGAAGCTTTGTCAATTTGTTCTCTCTTTATACCCATGAATAGAAATAACTTATCTTAAACATTTGATTAGCAATATTGTATCGTATGATTGGATGGTAGATAATGGTGGGATTGAATTTTGATCGAGTAGCATAAAATAAGATAGTAAAAAGAACGAATTCAAGATAGGACAATCTTTTTCTTAACCAATCATTGTGTAAATTTTTGTTATTTATAAAAGGACATGACGTCTATCTATCAAGTGATCATTGTTAAACGATGAGTGTTTTTATTACTATAGATAGAAGCATCTAGGAAATTGCATGGATTGGATTTTAAACCCAAACCACATTTTGAATTTTACTTCTCACAAATCATGTCATACACGTAATTTTTCACAAATCAAATACTCCATCTGTCCCACAAAAATAGAATTACTTTATTTTCAAACATATTGAGAAAATATAATTAATATAGTTGAAAAAAAAAATCTTTTTTTCCTTAAATTTTTCCTAATGTAACCCCACATTAAATAATGGTTAAAATGTGACTATTTCATATTTGTTTATTACAAACACATTAAATAGGGGCAAATTAGAAAACTAAAAAATCAACTATATTGACAATAAGGAGAGTAGTCTACATTTTGAGAAAAATAAAAATGAAAGTAAATCTATCTTCATGGGACGAGGGAGTATTTTTTTGTTATAAAATATCTAATTGAGATGTATTATCAGTTTCCCTTTTTATTTTTACAAATCCCTATAGTTGGAGTAATATTATCTGAAGTTGGGCCCCCATTGGGCTAACTTTGTGAAAATGGGCTTGATTGAAGCCCATTTTTTTGTAAGATTTTTTACTGGCCCAAAATCCATACATGTTTAACATCACCGGAAATTATCTTGTTACCGCACGACAGCATATGCCCTCATCGACGAGGTATGTATATCTATTCAAAATAATTTATAAATACGTATTAATGTGAAGACTAAGGTGAGTTTATTTTTTGGGTTTATGTATTTGGGGTTTGTTTAGGTTTTTAATATTATGGGGTTTTTGGTTTTATTTTATGCAATGGGATAAGTGAATCATTCTGGGTTTAAGAGATTTTGGGTGTTTTTGTCATTAAAGGTCTCAGAAATTTGTCTATTTGATTAATTTTAATAGGATTTTAAATATCGTTTCAAACTATTTGGACAATGAAATGAATTTGGTTTCGGATTTTTTTTGGTATGTTGTCTTTGAGGGGGTGACATTTGTTTATTTTGAGTGTCTTTGTCCCTTCTGGAACATGGTTTATGTTGTATTATACAATTTAGTGCTCCTATAGAAGCACATTTCCATTTGTTTTGTGAAGAAAATTTGTTGAGTTCACTGTTTAAAGAGCAAAATGTGACAACGCAATATTCACGATTAATTACGTGGAACATTTTTTTACCTGATTACAAGAAATGATTTGAGTAGGATGTTACGGTTGGAATTTCTTGGAAATCTGTAAATGGGCTTTGTATGAACAAATTATTTAGTGCATGGGGGATTCAGTTTGTCACTGTGATCATTTTCTGAACATTGATAATAAATTTATGTTTTCTTTTCATTGCTTTGTGGATCATGTCCAAAATTGTGTGGATATTTAAGGTCGTCTGAACTTATTAAATAATTCTACTGCTTGAGACTTGTGCTAAAAATTCCCTATTGAGAAACTATCTGACAACATTGAGTTTTGCTCTAGGCATATGTTCTCTATCTTTTGTGTGTGTATATAAATTTGTTTGGTTTCTGATTATCAACAGCTGAACTTGTTATTGCTGCATAATTTTGGTAAAAGGAACAATTTTTTAGTGCAAAGCCTGCCTCTTATTTAAGTACACACATTTTTTATTGGAATGTTAGACCAAGCAGTACATGAATTTTATGTGCTTCTTGTTTGCCAAATGTGTTTTTATCCATTTTCAATTGATTAAGTTGCTGTTGAGATTTGTTCCAAGCCACCTTAGAGAGCAGGGTTTTTTGGTTGCTGTATGGATGACTAGAATTCTTGGAATAACATGCTCAACCAGAAGTTGAGGTAATACAATTATATAGTCAACTGGCAGCCAGGATTTACTGTCTGTTGGCAGGTTTGCATCCACCTTGTGTAAGATATAAATATAGGATTGACAACAAGTGCGCCCCCCCCCCCCGGCGGATAATACTTGAGAGTTAGATTACACTTTTCTGGGACAGGAATAGTTGCAAAAATTTTACTGTGAAGGACTGACATTGGCAGGGGATGGGGAAAGTTTTAGTTGAAAAAGGTAATGTTTTGATGGCTCCGGTTGGTAGTTTCAAACAAGAAATGAGTGGTGACTTCTGGAAGATTGGTGACCATATGAATAATTTTTCAATTGGAAACTTTGAGCAATTTAAGAATAAGGTTTCTACTTTCTAGGATTCGAACAGAGTGCAGAAGGACCAAGTATAAATGTTGAGATATAGGATCTTAACTTAGAGAAATATTTTAGACTACTTAGTAATAGTGTTCTTGACATCATAATTAGGATATAAATAAAACCTTGGACTATGGCACATTAAATACCGAAAGACAAAACTACCCTTGAGTCTAATATTATAATAAATCCTATGTAAATAAACTCTAAAAGCTTAATATCTCATTGTAAAAAGTGCAAAACTTGATTGGGCTGTAGGACCTATTTTCTCTTGATATTGTGGTTGGCATGGTTTGTCTGAAAAATCTCAAATTATTTGGAAATATATAGTTTTGGCAGACTTTATTTTTAAGGATAGAGAGAATACTAGAATTTTTGAGGGAGTGGCTACGGACTTTGAGCTTATGTGGGATTGCATTTTGTTGAGCTTTTGTTTGGATGCTTACTAGTAAAGAGTTTGGGGTTGTCCTATAATTTAGGGAACTGGTGTATTGTGGTGTAGTTTTGGGTGTCTGTAATTGTTGCTCTTATTTAGAGAATGTTCTGTCGTCTCTTTTGTACTTTTTATATTTCTCGATTAAGTACCCAGTTACTCATCACACTTGAGTGCTAAAACTTGTTCCAAGTACACTAAAGAAAGAATCCCCGATTTGCCCTTCTTTTCCTCCATATATTATGCAGCAAGGACAAGAAGAATAACATCGAAGGTGATATTGGTATCAATCATCAGGAGAAGCTTTAAAATCTTGAATTGCAGACTCCTGGTGTAATATATAATAAAGTCTAATAACTACATACCTATTAACTATGTATTATTTTTATTATATCTAGAATTCAGAATAATTAAATTAAATTGACCCATTAAGACCTGAAGGCCCAAACTATGGGCTGTATACTGATATATTAACATTGTTAGAACAACTATTAACTTTTAGAACATAGGAATTTCTCAACCAAATAACTGCTACTGCTTGCTAAATTGTAATACTAGAAGAAAGCTGCTACAAAACAATGTCTCAATGAAGTCTGTACTCTTCCTTTTCCTGCTCATGAATTCTATGCTAACTGTATGCTAGGGAAAAGATATATCGTTGATCTTGGATATCATAGTTGCTCTTACATGGGTAATCTGCGCGAATCTCATCATTGTTTTTGCACAAGTTTTTTTAGAAGCTCAAAATACCAACCAATTGGTCGTGCTGGTTAGGATCATTATATGACAGGAAAACAGAACTGACAAAAAGATAGTCTGTCCATATTACTTGCCCTATTATTGTTAATACTGTCTTGTCTTTCAAACTTCCTCCATGAGGATTCTTCACTTTTGTGCTAAGTAGAATTATTATTCATTTGGACTCCATAGACTTTGTGAATAATTCATGTTGACAATTTTTTCCAATTAAGACAAATTTTCGTGCCTTAACAGGACTACAACTTCCCGTCCATGGTTAAATATAGTATTTCTGATGGTGTCTTGACTATAATCATTTGTAGCCATGAAAGTACGTTCTTCAGTGAAGAAAATGTGTGAGTTTTGTCGGACGATCAAACGACGTGGACGAGTTTATGTATTATGCACTTCCAATCCCAAACATAAACAGCGTCAGGGCTTCTCAACATTTGCATATGAAGGTCCATTACCTCCAACGTATGTATCTGAGTTTCTTTCTTCATTTCTGTTTACAAGTACACGCATGTGTACTTTTAAGATTTTCAGAAATGAAAGGTCTGTTCATTACACCATTGTATGCAATTCGCTTATTTTTAAACTTCTATATGGAATCATGATCAAGTATCCTGACATGACTGTTTGAAATACATAAATGCAGCGAAAAATAAGAATTTAAAAACGTTTAAACCCACATATTTGTTCATGATTAGCTACTGAGGATGTAAATCTGTACATAAATGGGGAGTTCACCTCAAACATTTTTATCTTTTATTTAATTTTTCTCATAAAACAATCCCTGCAGTGACGGGATTCTAAAATTATCCATAATAGAAGCCATAGGTAGCTTAAAGGTCCTCCAATGAACTAAGGGAGAAAAAGGAGTGCAAATCTGTGGTGACTCACACCCACTTGTTTGGATATGGGAATAGTTGGTGTAAAAATTTTTGGAATAGTTTTGCTATCTTTTTGTTTCCTTGGTGTTTAAAATTTTCCATCATGTCTTAACTATGTATATATATGTTATATGAAAGGTGTGTATGCATGTTAACCAACCAATTTCTCGAAATAATCAAATCCAATTTATTTAAAGTCCAAATTGACGACTTCTTTACAGTTTACCCTAGGAAATCTCTCATCCATTTAAATTCTAATATCCAATTTATATACCTCATGAGTAAACGAATGGTGATGAATTAACAGTTTTCTGAACTTTTCCACTAGAGGTTACACTATAATTTGATCCTTCAACCATATGATGTCCCAGTTGGATAAGATCATGGATTCATGGTTATATCTATGTCTTAATTCTAGCCAATGTAATCAAAACTGGACCGGAACAGCTGGTTAGCCTGAAAAAGGGGAACCCAGGTTGGAAACAGGTTGGGTTGTACACTTAAAACCATTTCATTACAAACGGTGTCAAAACTGGTGAACCGGCCAGGTCAACCAGGAACCTCTTGACCTGAACTTGGTTTTACCGGTTCAAGAGTTTTGAAATTTCCTTATCTTTTGCAATTTGATCCTCTTCTACAGATATATTCTTCAAGTTTCCATTCTAACTATGTTCCCAAATGAAAGGAGTTAATGCAGTCCTATGACTCAGCCCATCCTTGTCACCATTACATATATGTATTTCGTAAATGATATTTGTTTCCAAATATCTTTATTCTTGTCAAAAAATCCTTCGCCTGCAGCCACGAGATTAACGTCTAATTCATTGAATTTTTAGAAAGGATGTCTTAGGGTTTTCTGCTTCCTTCATCACCCGATTCACCTGCCTCGTCACTCTCCATGGTTGTCCTAGTGTTAAGGGTTCACCTTTTGAGGTGAAATATTTGGACTTCAGTCAAGCTGCTGGTCCTTAATGATGTTGCATTTTGGGTTAGGGCCCTGGCCTTTCATTTTGACACCATAGTCCATACTTCCTTTTAATAACCTATGCATCTCCCTAATTATTAAGTTGGACAATCTTGCACTTAAAGTTAAAAATTAATTCACCTATTTATATATATTATAACATCGGTTTGACCCTGATTCAACCCTTTGACACTTGATCCTTTAGCTATCCTGGATCGTCTGGTCTGGTTTCAAAACATTGATTCTAGCATATGACTGACCCAAGTGATACGTGCTTTTCTAATTTCCTCCCAACCTTGGTCATGAGTTTCAATGAGTAATAAGATATCTTATTTTATGCTCACATGCCTCATATGGCCAACAATTGTCATCACCATAATCCTAACATCATGGTTTACCATAAGAATCCATACACAAGACAACGATGATACATCAGGTTCAAGATTCACATACATAACTATAACATAGGACGTGTCATTGACAATGATTGAATTCTATTGACATGTTCTGATACTAGCACACACATGATTCTTTGACATCTCATGTCGATGATATGAAATTTATGATTCATATAGTGTACATTGTATGCTAGTTTTCTTGGAATATGAAGTTTATAATTCATATGATAAATGTTGAGAACCTAAGGAGTAAATGTTTTATACCGTTAACATCTTTAAATATGGTTAAGGTACACATACATCTCAAGTCAATTTCCCTAGATTGCCATACTCGATCTCAAAGATACATATAGAATTCTGCAGAAAGCTGTATTCGTATTTGATGAAAGTCATATGTACGGCTCCTTAAGACATGCAAGTGATGCAACTATTATTGTAATTGGAATCATATAACTACTAGATGAATAATACAAAAAGATAATATTGATTTGTGGAAGCTTATTCAGTTTTTATTCATGTTTATTCCAAATTTCTTGATCCCTTCCATGTCTTGTACCAATCTACCTTCCTGCTATTGCTTGCTGATTCCCTGTTTAACATTCATGTACAACAATCTAAGAACATCTCCAATGGTGGTGTAAAATTGGTTCTAAATTGGTATATTCAAAATCACAATTACATCCTCAATTACATTCTGGTGGATCTAAATCCAAGTTCTGCTCTAATAGAAATACCTAAATCCACTTTTTGCCTCCTGTGGATGTTAAAAAAAATAAATGTAAATTTACACCTTTTTTCTGTCAGAAAATGTAATTTGTATCTCCTTTGCATCTTTCCAATGAAGAGGTTTTCGGTTACTTTGGAGATCTAAATCTCTATTTTACACTACCATTAGAGATGTTCTAATGAATCTAAATATAGCATATGAATTTTGACTACTTGATTCTATGGGCAGCTATGGTGTTCTCCCTATCTTTTGCTTTTGTAATTGGCAACATACCATATTCTTTATGAATGAAATGCAAGACTTTGATTGTGTTTAATGGTATCAATTTCAGTTCCTTGGTGACAAGTGGCGAGAAGGAGACATCACTCGTTCGTAGCTTCACAAATGGATTGCCTGCTTTTATCTACAAAAAGGATGAAATGTTACCAGTAACACCTTGGTGGAGAATGGGTCTAGTTTCCCGTCTGCTCAATCCAGGCTGCAAGCAGTAGAAAAAAATTGTAATAGATTGTTGAATTTTAACAAAGCTTGAGAAATTGAGCGCAACTTAGCTGTATTAGCTAGACATATTTTTCAAATATTCTATTTCAGTATTACAAGAACTTCGATAAATTATGCCCGATTTATTGGATACCGTCATGATGGGTTTTGGCTGGAGCAAAAAAATCAACTTTCTTGGAGTGTTTGCTTACACTATGAGGTGTTTTGTATTCTTCTATATCTTGAGCATTCATGGAACGTGAGAAGGCTCGATATTTTTCAATATATTACTTCTAGTTTGATCAGCAGCTAGAACCATGCTTTTAGAGAGGCGGCTTTTAGAATTTTATTTAAACTGCGAGAATAAAAGGGAGTAAATGTGGACTAAATAAATGCTATAAGGTGGCAAGGCATTGTCCACGGAGAAACCTCCCAAAGCCAGGTTATTAGCAAAGACTTCTTATCCCATCATATTTCAAAAATTATACCCTTAATGATCTAAGATTATTGATCCGCTGTCGAACTTATTTCACTTCTAAGATTTCGGAACGAATCGGTATTTGATATGCCGTTATCTCCTAATATGATAGGTGTTCCCTTTATTGTTTTAGGGACAATCAGTGCATAACAAACAGTTTTATTCATTACAAGGTATGACTTGTGATATCAAATCCAGGCAGAATGAGAGATTTTTTCTTAATATCAAGTGTGTTGGGACGAGAAATATTGAGTAAGCCGTGTCATAAGGAGTCGTTCTATAGACATAATAAATGCAGGTAAGACACAAGACTGGCTAAGTCTCTCAGTTGTGTGCCATAAACTACATGTAAGCTGCACGATGTATTAACTGAACTTGATTGGCTTTGGATTTAGAATACAATTTGAACAATAATGGAATTACTATTAAATAATGAATATACTTATGGTTGTGATATGTGTGGTCCATAAAAAGTTAAAAACCTGCCATACACACCCTCTTCCTTGAATTTGATAAATAAATATAGATTGATGATATATTCAAAGAATCCTTCTAAACACATCGACATTTTAATCACTTCTAGAAGGATTGAGCAATAGAACTATTATGTGATGAAAAATTATATTCCATTATGATAACATAAAACTAATTGTAAAGGTTTAAGTGCTAAAAAAAAATGAAATATGGATCTGAAATTCAGATGGAACAACATAATATATAATTTGTTTTTTTTTTTTTATCAGAAAACAAAGTTCTTTACCTTGCCTTTTCAAGAAACCCAAACACAAACAAGAAAAAATGGTTTTCTTAAAAAATCATTTATTACAAGTTGCCCAAAAAAATGAAATATGGATCTGAAATTCAGATGGAACAACATAATATATAATTTGTTTTTTTTTTTTATCAGAAAACAAAGTTCTTTACCTTGCCTTTTCAAGAAACCCAAACACAAACAAGAAAAAATGATTTCCTTAAAAAATCATTTATTACAAGTTGCCCACAAACAGCGATATAATCTTCGAAAAAGTATATAGAAATGATTAATTATAGATAAGATAATGACTCAATAATACAAGTAATTATCATCGAACTTTTCGCCTATTACTGTCACATCATCACAATACTTTTTGATAAATAAGGTCTGCCTTTTCGTATTCTCACCCGGTAAAACAGTCTCCTGTGTGTTATATATATGAAATCAGAAATTATAGTATTCTACTGTAAATTGATACATATTTGTTAAAATATTATCAGGGGTTTGTTTTTAGCTGATTTTTGGTGGGTTCTGTGATCTGAGCACAGTTGGAATTTTATTACTGAAGTACATGTTTAGATATATGATGCAGTACACTTCTTTCAGCGCCTGGGTCAGTCAGATTCTTACTTGCATTGGGTATGCAGTTTGATTTTAATCCATTTCTTCGAATTTAATTTATAATTTATTCAATGAATATAGATAGGGGTTATCAAGATTCATGTTTTTATTGATTTGGTATTTTGAAACGACTTTTTCGAAAGTATTTTACACTAGTTTAGCTACATTGTGAGAGGAATAAATTGTCATATTTATTGTTTAGAAGTTAGAACTGAACATTTGAACACGAGGGTGTAACTTTATTCACTGAAAGTTTCGATTTTTTCTTGACTTTCTAGATGTGTATTTTCAGTAGATTTACGAGAAAATTTTAGTTACAAATTGTTTGCAGTTAGTAAGAAGTTGACTAGGCAGACTTGATTCAACTTTGGGTTGTTTATATTGGTGCTTCTGGAATGACTTTCAAGAGTTGATCTGAGTTGCAGAAGTTTCTTGAGTCAAAGTATTACCTACTCGGGTGCCAAATTGTATCAAATTGGTAGAAATCTGTTAGAAAGGGTAATATTGCTTCTGTGATTGTTCATACTACATGTTTCTATGAGGTTGTGGCACAAATTCTTTGTTAGAAAGGGTATTTTGGACCAAGTTTGAATCTACCTTCTGATTTTCCCATATTTCCTTTCAGCCAAATTTGGTCGACGAGTATGAAATTCAGAATCCCACCTCTCCAGTTCAATGTGCACAATTTCAGTTCAACACTTATTTGGTTTCTAATCAAGTATGTCGTATTTAAAGTAACTCAAGTAAACTCTTATTCGAAGAAACACCTAATTTTAGAGTCGTGGGATCATCAAACACAGTTACTCCTCTATTTCATTCAGTTTGTAAAAACTTTCTCACATCACATAATTACTCCCTAAAAATGATAAAAAGAGGATGGATAAATATTTTTTTAAAGGCTAGGTCATTGCTTTATATTTTATTAATAAGCCTGTCATGTGTAACTCTTTTCTTTTGTAGTTAATCAGTAAGAAATGATGGTAAGCCTGTCAGATGCAGGACCCTTATAAGAGCTGTTAAATTTTAAGTTGAGTAAGTTCAAATGATCAATACGAACTTCAAAATTTTGAATACCAATTGCCTAATTGAGTTTGGTTGCATGTTTTATTCGGATTTAATTTTTTCACATGAGCAAGATAGTTTAAGCAAAGCCCTAGGATATCTCTTTGAACTGAAATATATGATGAAGGTGTATAATATGTTTCATAAGTATTTTTATTTATGTCTTAGATTTTTGAACGCTGATTGCGTTTGCTCGCTTTTTTTTTTTTTTTTTTTAATATTTGAAATCATCTTTCTTTGACATGGGGAAGTAAATTTTTCTGATTAAAATTGAACTGGGATGTATTGAAGGAGTGCACATTCATTTGCGAATTGAAAAAGTATGACAGCATGGAAAAAATTATTCCTTTGTCAGCAAAAGAATGCCTCTCTTGACTAGTTTGTTTTTGCATTTCCAATGTAGTTCATAGAACTGTAAAATGAAATCTAATTATTTTTCCCGATCATCCCTAGTTCTTATAGGTAAAAAAGTCAACCTAAAATGTACCTTGTAACCTAGATAACCCTAGAAGGCTGATACTAATACAGGAAGTAGCCGTCATAATCAAAGTCATCTTATTGCATTTTAAGAATTAGGCGAACTGTACACTAATAATCTGATCTGGCCGCAGAATGAAAATCATTTTTCTAAGTTGCTAAACACCAAGCTGAACTATGTAGTTTTCATTGGTGATATAAATAAGATGTCAATGTTTATCTTTTGAATCAAATCTGCGGTTAGAAAGAAATTAAGTACAAAAAGCATATACTTTTTTTTAAGGATTTTAGTCTAGAAAACGGCATATGTGGTCCAATAAGATATGAGAAGAGGCAATTTCAGAATGTCCCTGGTGAAGGACCTGTTCTCCCCGATAGAAATAGGTAGTTTGATTCCTTTCTTTAGAATGGTACGTGAGAGTAAAATGCTTAGTGAGTTCATGGCAGTGGTTGGAAATGTTTTGTATTTGAGCAAATCCCATAACACTCTTAATACTATATTGGGTAGATTAGCACCATAGCTTTATGAATTGATTCATCCAAGCATTCATTCTGGTACAACTGCAGTTTATTTTCTTTCCAGGGAACTTAAACTTAATGAAAATTACCTTCCTTAAATCCATCCTCGCGATTCTTGCGATTTCCATTGTTGTCCAAATTGGTAAAATTTTAAAATCCATGCATTTGTATGCATATCCGTTGAATTGTTTCCCAAGGCTTACCTTAGGTATAGCTAGAACAACTAGAAATTGACAGTAGCAGTCGTTCGTCTAGAATGTAATTTCCCATAGGCATATATTGTTGATTAATAAGAATTTGACAAGGAAGACTGCCTGCTTGATCGGTAATCTGGTGGCTTCAAACTGAATTATCTACTTGTCAGAATTTATTGCAAATGTGTATAACCGGGAACTGTAACAGAGCAGAAATTGTTTTGGTTGCTGTACTAAATCCCAACCAATTATTGCGGTGGATGAGCCCTCAAAGCGACTACGAATTCAAGGTCTGGTGGTGAAGAAACCAAGCATTTCGGAAGATTTTTGGAGCACCAGCACATATGATAATGACAATAGCACACTTCTATCCCAGAGAAGCTTGTCGTCAATCAGTATATCAAATCAGAAGAGCCAGAACACGGGTATCAGCAGCACAAGTGACCATTCTGAATTCATAAATCATGGCAAGTTCTGTTGACTGTATTATTCCATAAATAAACATATTTTTAGTGCCATTTGATGCATTATGTACACAGGATCTTCAGTCTCTATAAGTTGTTTTGTCTATGGCTTGTCTTTGATGCAAAAGTGCATTCGAGCATATTCAGTTACGTTCAGGCTTCGTGTCATTGAACTTTGCTTCTTTTGAAAAGTTTGTAATTTCCTGTTCCCTGGATGCAGGTCTTCTGCTTTGGAACCAAACCAGGCTTCAGTGGGTTGGTAATAAAAGGTCTCAAAGCCGAGGAAAAGTTCAGGACCCTGTATTAAGGTATTTAAAGGGTGGTCTGCCTTTTTTTTCCTTGTGTAGTATTGATGCTTTAAAATGCAATGTCCTTTAACCGTAGTTTGAAACTAATACTGAAATTATAGTTGGAATGCAAGTTATGAGAGCCTTCTGGGAACTAGCAAGAAATTCCCTCAGTTGATTCCTCTCTCAGTGAGTCGATATCGCAAATCCTTGGTGCTTTTTTTATATTTCTTTTACTTTGTTTAATGTTAAAATAGAGACTCTTATGAACGATCCAACGTGCTCCATCCAACAGGAAATGGTTGATTTTCTTGGGGATATATGGGAGCAAGAAGGGTTGCATGATTGACAAATTCAGTTCCAATGATTATTAGCTAGCTCGATAGTGAATTTTCAGTAAGTTCAACCTTTCTGAAACATTTGATGTACAGTTTCACTAGCAAAAAGGATTGAAAAATTAGAATGTACTATCAAGTGCAGTATTTTATGCCGAATTCTGTTTTGTTTATCGCATTGTAAATGCCACAAGTCTCCTTTTGAAAGGATTAACTCACAACTACAGGTCAATTTGCTTACAAAATTTTCTTTTCACGTGTTTCTCGCCATATCTTTCTGATTTGAAGAAGGAAATATGAAGATAATTTTTATAGTTAATGTTCTTTAAAATCAGGCAGGCACTTGTGTAATTGATATCTATAGTTGCTTATGCATTCACCATACTGTATAGTTCAAAGGGTTGTTCCTCTTCTTGATTAGGAAAGAAAAATTTTAGGAAATAATTAAGATCGTATACGTTGACGTAGAAAAATGTGTTTTAGTTTTGAACTGATTTAGTTCTATTCCCATGATCTAGTATTTGGTAGGTGTATAATGTAGAGATGGTTTATGGTCTTATGAATGCAGCAGTGCTTGCATTTCAACATGGTGAAATCATGAATTTGGTTCTCGTTTGTGCCGAAGCTTGCAAGTTGCCGTTCATAACCATTGGTATTATATAAACTGCGACTAGCAAAAGCATTGTCTTCTTAAAGTGTTGATCACATTTGCCATATGCTCGCCTAATTAGTACTTATTGCTTAAAAAGTCATATTATTCCTTTTTCTCTATCTTGTCAAGAAATTCTATATACCTTTCTATTCAGATATCTCGTTAAAGTCGCCTTCAATTCCTCTCCTCTATCACTTCCATGAATGTATTGTTGCAACTCTTCTCTTGTAAGCATCTTAGTCAATTCCTTCGTAATTTCTTTTTTTATGGTATAAATGATTTTCTAAGATATTATGAATGATTGATTACGAAGGGACCGTGTCATTTTGTTTGGCTGATCTGGTCTGGTCTATATTCTTTCTTTTTGCCTATTTCAAATAGTATATATAGATTTGTCATCAACAAGTAATTCATTATATATTACCACATAAGTCTACATAAAGAACCCCCATAAAGGTTTGGTGGTTGAAATTTTAGTCTTGTGCTTATATAAGAGTTTTCAGTTGTTTACTCAACCAACTGATACAACAAGGAAATAATTAAAAGTCTATTCAAGGCGAAAGACTAATAATCAATAGAATTCTAGTATATCTAAATTATAATAGTTTTATTTTGACAATGTTATCTTTTATTTTCAAGTTTCTTTAGATAAGAAGTTTATTTAATTTCAAAGTCCTTCTCTATATAAAGGGGTTTAGGGCAATGTTTAGAAACACTTGCATTATATGAATAAGATTATTTCTTTTGCCCTCAATTCTTCCCTGTGATTTCCCTTTCTTCTTATTATTCTTTATCAATTTGTGTGTTCCTGCATCAATTTAGTATCAGAGCAAACTCGTTTCCTTTGGCCACAAAATCATCCACAATCCTTGACCTCGTTTCCATCTACCTTCATATACAGCCACCTTTCCACCATCCATTCAACACCAATAACCACCATTACATACGGCAGCCTTTGAACAGCACAAAACGAAAGAGGAAGAGCATTTATCGCAGCAGCAGTTTTAAGTTTTCCTTTTAGTTCTTTGTTCTTAGTTTAAAAAAAATAATCCGGAACTGTTCACCGGTCAGTAGTAGTTGCATTAGGTATTCTGAAAAAAAGAAGAAGAAGAGTAGTACAATTTATTGTCGATTATTCCTCATATTGTTGCTTCATATGTCACAACTGTTGCTGTTCAACCAAAGGCACCCTATATTACCTACTCATCGCTAATATTCCCAAGCCCAAACCTTAATCTGTCATACCAACCCACTAACCCAATTTGCCAAAATCCAGCAGCCCAAACAAACCCATATCTAAATTACCCTAGCCCAACCCATTAACCAATTATTATCTCCTTACTTCCCCGACAAATTGAATCCAAGACTCCAAGACAATCTCACCGTCAGCCGCTCACACCGCCGCCTGCAAAGCTACAAGTTCCTGCAACTCTAACCCTGTTTCGATCGCCGGCTAACACCACTACTGGTTTCTCCATTTTTTTGCTGCTACCAAACCACTCCCCCAGTCCACCACTATCATCTATTTCCTAAACATCCATAACCACCACCACCTCATCACACAGGGAAGATTATCACACCACTAAAGTCATCGTTTTCCCTTCTTAAATCCATAAACTGCCTCCTGCCACTTTGTGCCAACCACTTCGGCTCCAGACACTCAAACCCGCTGCTGCTCCACTACTCAAATTCGGAATCTTCGCCGCTACTGTCATGGTCAAGTCCTCCATGCGTTCGGTCGCCATCATCGCCACAGAGGTACAACAATTTCATTATATTTTCATCTCCGTCACTCTACTGCCGCTCGAAGTCTTTCGCAACTGTTACTGGCCCCAGTCTGGTCACTACTCTTGCTATCACAATCTCCGTTCCACCACTGCTGCAACGAGTCCTACCGTCTTGTGAAAAGCCTGAGACCGATTCTTCCCTTGTGTTTTGGTAAGGATTTCCTTCTGCTTTTATTGAAACTTTGCTATTATTCAAGTACTTTGCCTTTTACGTAGTGCTGCATTCGTTCCAAGTTAAAAAAAAAAATTTTTTTTTCTCAAATCAATACAAATGAATCTCAAAGATTTAGAACACTCACACGAAGTATTATCTCAGCAAGTTGCCAATCTTTCAACTGATTTAGCGTCTATGAAGGCTGATTTTGCTAAACTTAAAGATTTTATCATTGACTTACATCGAAATCCTGAAAAACGCCCCGCAGATAATTTTTTTGAATCATCGACCATAGGTCAAAACATTCATAACACTACTCAACAGGCTCCTGTTATTCCACATAGAGGGGAATCCCCTACGATACAGCATCCTATTCACAACGCACACACCCTCGAATATCTGAAACTTGGTGTCCAATATAATACTCGCCCTGAACCCCGCCCCCCACATTTTGATCGACATAGGGACCTTGTTGATGACATGTCTAGAAACATTAAAGTAGATGCTCTCGAATTTGATGGCCGTCTAGACCCCGAAGCCTTTTTAGATTGGCTGGACTCCATCGAAGAATACTTCGATTGGTATCGCATGCCGGGTTATCAACGGCTTCGCTTCGCCAAAATGAAACTCACCAAATTTGCTAAACGCTATTGGCAAAACTTGACACGAAACCTCGAACATTTAGGACAACCTATCACCCTATGGGCGGAAAATGAAAACAAAACTGAAAGAAAAGTATGTCCCACCATTCCATCGATCTCAGCTTCTAGAGCGTTTGCTTAACCATAGACAAAACTCCTCGACCGTGTCTGACTATAGATCTCGTTTTGATGAGTTGCTCCATCGTTCCAGTCTTTATGAACCCGAGGATGTCACTGTTACTCGATTTCTTAATGGCCTAAGGCCCGACCTCAAACACCACGTCACCGTGCTCAGTCCCTTTTCCCTAGAGGACGCCTATTACAAAGCCTCGAGTATGAGAGGTACTCTCGAGCACCATACACTCGAAGGGGCCTTTCAAACTTTGTGGACCCTCGCCAACCCCGTCCTAACCCATCCTCCACTCCTGGTAGTATTCCAGCATTAACTCAGTCTCGCACAGTTGTCGGGTCTTCGTCATCATCACCTTCACTTTCCCGGGATATCAATAAGAATCAACCTTCTTCTTTTGCTTCTTCCCGTATCGCTAACCCGTCAATCGTGTGTCATCATTGTCAGAATCGAGGTCATATAGCATCTCGATGCCCTCATCGTACCCTTAATGTTAATCAAGAACCACTACTTCCAACACCGGAAATTGATGAATGTTTTATAGTCGATCCTATTGACCATTCTGATGAGGACCTCGAACAACTTGAGTGTCACGTGGAGGATGAGGCTGTTGTCTCGATCATGAGATGCATCCTCTCCACCCCTGTTGACTCTGATTCTTGGAAAAGGACATCAATATTCCACACGTACATACCGTGTAACTCTCGTTCTTGCAAATTAGTAATTGACGGGGATAGTACCATGAATGTCGTTTCCACCTCAGCGGTAACCAAATTTGGCTTCAAGCCCGAACCCCACCCTCGCCCTTTTAAGGTGGCATGGGTCGATAGGACTTCTTTGCCTATCACTCATCGTTGTCTTGTATCCCTTACATTTGGCCTATACTCAGAAGACATTTATTGTGACATTCTACCTATGGATGTTGCTCATGTCCTTTAGGGTCGCCATTGGCTCTATGATCATGATGTTAAGCACTTCGGGCGTAATAACACTTATGAGTTTGTCCATAATGGAAAACCCATTCGTCTTCTTCCAGCCAAACCATCTGACCCCCCAAAGAGACCACCACCTAAAACAACACCCACTTGTGCTACAAGTACAAAGAACTGAATTCAGGTCTTGTCCCATAAGGCCTTTGAGCTTGAGGCGCACGACACCGGGTTGCTGTTTGCGTTAGTTACCAAAGCATGTTCCCAACCTACTACTAAAGCAAACTCTGATCGCCTCCTTGTTACCACTCCGTTGTTAGAGGAGTTTAGCGATGTCATACCAGATGACCTACCTAATGAACTCCCTCCCATTCGTGATATTCAACATGCAATCGACTTGGTCCTGGGATCACAATTACCAAATCACCCTCACTAAAGGATGAATCCTGCGGAACGGGTCGAGCTAAATAAACAGGTTGAGGCATTACTATCTAAAGGTTTTATTCGTCATAGCCTTAGTCCTTGTGCAATCCCCGTCCTACTTACTCCCAAAAAAGACGGATCTTGGCGTATGTGTGTCGATAGTCGTGCCATTAACAAAATTACTATAAAATATCGATTTCCCATACCATACCTCGACGACATGCTGGATGAGTTAGCAGGATCCTTATGGTTTTCTAAAATAGATCTACGAAGTGGATATCACCAAATTAGGATTAGACTAGGGGATGAATGGAAAACAGCCTTTAAGACGCAGGATGGTTTATACGAGTGGCTAGTTATGCCTTTCGGGATGTCTAATGCGCCTAGCACTTTTATGAGGGTGGTCTATTTTGATGATATATCGATTTACAGTAAAACGCGAGAGGACCACTTAGATCACCTTAGACAAGTCTTTCTTACACTTCGTTCTAATAAACTGTATGCTAACCTTAAGAAGTGTTCTTTTCTACAATCACAAGTCTTATTCTTAGGTTTCATTATCTCTGGCCAGGGAATTTCGGCTGATCAAGCTAAAATCTCTGTAATTCGTGATTGGCCAGAACCTACAACTTTGACTGAAGCCCGTAGCTTTCATGGATTAACCTCGTTCTACAGACGATTCATTCAAGGTTTTAGTTCTATCACTGCCCCTATTACTGAATATATGAAAAAAGGGAGATTTCCATTGGACACCATCCGCAAAAAAAGCCTTCATCGTAATTAAGCAAAAGTTGATTGAAACTCCTGTTTTACGCCACCCGGATCTCTCTAAAGTATTTGAAGTGGCATGTGATGCTTCTGGTATCGGTATAGGTGGTGTATTAAGTCAAGAGGGTCACCCTATCGCCTATTTTAGCGAGAAATTAAATCAGGCACCACAGAAGTATTCTACTTATGACAAAGAATTCTATGTTGTCGTCCAAACTCTTCGTCATTGGCGTTATTATTTATTACCTCAAGAGTTTATCCTTTACTCCGATCACCAAGCCCTCCGCTATCTCAATTCCCAACGTAATTTGAGTGATAGACACATTAAATGGGTAGAGTTTCTCCAAGAATATACATTTGTTCTCCACCATCGAGCTGGGGTCGATAACAAAGTGGCGGATGCTCTTAGCCGTATTATTATTGTACTCCAAACTATGAGTACTATGGTGGTCGGATTTGAACGTTTAAAAGATGAATATCCTAGTTGTCCCGACTTTGGTCTCATTTTTCAAGACCTCGTATCTAACTCCTCTCGTAATCATGTTGCTTTTTTGCTTAAAGAGGGTTATCTTTTTAAAG